GTTCACACACACACACACACACACACACAAGTGCGCGGGGCGCCCACCTCCAGCACGATGCGCAGGAAGTCGGCGTACAGCTGCAGCTCCAGCTCAGCCGCCTCGCTGGCGCCAGCTGGCGCCTCGCCAGACCCGCCAGCCGCACCCGTCACGCCCGCACCCTGCCCCGCAGCCTCCGCCCCGGCGGCGCCCTGCTGCCCCTGCTGCTGCTGCGGCGCGGCGGCTGGCGCGTCTGGCCCCGGCGCCGGCGAGGCTGCGGGCGTCCAGGGCGTCAGCGGGGACTCCAGGGAAGGCGAGAGGAGGTCGTTGGGCGTGGGCGGCGGCGGCATGCCCTCCGCCGCCGCCTGCAGCCGGCTGTAGCGGCGGGCCAGCAGGTGGAAGAGCGACACCAGGCGCTGCGCCGCGTGGGTGCTCAGCCCTGCAAGCAACCACATGGGGTGCGCTTGGGTGGCGGGGTGGGTGCAGGAGAGGCCGGCCCGGCTCGGCCCAGGGCTGCACTGCAACCACCCCAAGCACACATGCATGCATACACCCGAGCACACATGCGTACAGGCGGAGCCCACCGCCGGCAGGCCCAAGGCATGCCTGCGCCGCGCACCCGACATGTGCGGCGCCAGGTTTGCCAGGGCAGCCAGCGTGTTGGTGTGCAGGTACACGTCCCGCAGCTTGGCTAGGTTGTAGTGGGCAGTCCTGCAGTACAGATGGTATGGGTGGCGGTACAAGTAGTGGTACAGTGATGCAAAATAAAAGGCCTGGCTTGTGTACCCGACAACCCAAGCGACCCAATTCACGGTGCGTGCTAGAGCAGTGGGAAAGTGCAGGATTGCAGTACAAGAGGCAGGGCGGGCCCCACCTCAGCAGCAGCACCACCAGCAGGCTTCCCAGCGTGGTGCGGGTGCTGCTGCGCTCGCGGTAGAATGGCACAGACTGCAGCGGGGGCGGCGGAGGCGGGGCACCAGGAGGCACACAGTGCTGGTGTTGGCCGGGAGAAAATCGGCTCAGGTGGAGTCGGAGGCATCTCAAGCTGCGCCCTGAACCTGCGATTACCCCCAAGCCCAGGCCCAGCTCACCGGCAGCCCGATCTTGTGCACGTTCTGTGCAAAGGCGGTGTCCTGGCTGAGCATGAGCAGGATGATGAGCAGCATGTACATCTGCAGGTACATGCGGTACATGCGGTCGGACGAGGCAGTGCAGGTAGTATGCGCGGTGTCGGCGGGCGGCCAGAGCGAGAACACCGCCGGGGCTGGCCCGCCGGCGCTGGATCATGCGGGCGCATGTTGCCTGTCCCCACCTGGTTTGCTGTGCGCTCGTGCGCCGAGTAGAGCAGCTCCAGCAGCGGCAGCAGGAGGGTGTCCAGGTCGGAGCGCACCAGGCAGTACTCGTGGAAGCGAGGGCAGGTGTGCAGCAGCACATACAGCAGCAGCACCGCTCGCTCGCTGGTCAGCGCGGCGCCCAGCGCATCAAACAGCGCTGCAGGCAGGCGGGAGGAGCACGGAGGGAAGCAGGCATGTGTCATTGCCAGCCTAAGCACTCACCACGCACCAGCAGGCTGTGGCAAAGGCAGGGCAAAGGCAGAGGGCCACTGAATAGGTTGGTACTATGCAGGCGGCATGGCCTGCCTGCATAGCCGATGGATGCCTCGCCAGAGGAAGCCGCATGCCCGCCTTCTGCGGCCTCGTCCGTGGCTGCAAGGACAAGTGTGGGCCAGCTTGCTTAACGGCAGTGGGTGCAACAGCACTGCTGGCAGCGCCGGCGCCAAAGCATGCAAGGGGAGCCCGTCTGGAAGCAGCTGGGCGGCAGCTGGGCAGTACGCACCCAGGTCATCAGTATCCTGCAGCCGCTGCAGCGAGGAGCGGTACGGATTGCCAAACGGAGCGTCCTGCAGTGTGTGTGAAGCGTGAGAGAGATGATCACCACCCCACGGCAGCCACAACACTTGCGCCTGCCACAAGTCTCCGCGGCAGTAGCTCGACCCCAGCACAGCAGCAGTACCAGCCGCAGCAGACAGCACCTGCGGCGGCGCATGGAACAGCAGCACCAGCAGCAGCAGCAGCGCGCTGTCGCCCAGCGGGCTGTTGGAGGGAGCCGCCGCCGCGCCGCCGGTGCCCTCGCCGCCGCCGCCGGGCCGTGATGGCCGCAGCAGCAGCGTGTAAGCCTGGTAGGGAAGCCAGAGCATGGAGGCTGCAGGGCGTGCGGGGCACATGGAAGCCGTGCATGGGTGCATGGGGAACCGCTGCGCGCTGCACGTGCCAACTGCACAGCGAGCTGTGGGGCGCCGGACAGCCCATCACGTGCGCAGCACCCCACCCGCTCTGACAGCCCCGCCCAGCGCCCTGCCCGCCGCACCTGCCGCGCTGCGCACGATCTTCAGCATGGAGCGAGTGTCTGTGGGCATGTATGTGAAGATCTTGAGGCTGAGCGGCACCGGCGGGGCTGCGATGAAGAGCCGCAGCAGCGCCTCCACCGCTGCAGGGCAGGTTGCCCGGGCGGCGCAGGGAGGGCAAAGTCAGACTGGCTGGTCTGGGCAAGGTCACCCCAGGTCGGACAGCCCGCATGCCCCAGAACCCCAGATGCATGGTGCACCCGCCGCCAGCCAGCGCCAGCCCCACACCCGCCGCCCTCCTGCCTCCTCGGCTTGCGCAGGCCCCGCCCAGGCCTCCCCCAGCCCCCCCAAAAATCCTCCCCCAGGCTGGCAAGCTGCTCCTCCTCACTTGTATTGGCCAGATCCTTCTGCTGCATGGCGGCATCCAGGAAGGGGTGCTGCCCCAGCTGGCCGCGCGGCGAGGCGGAGTAGAGCGCGGAGCTGCACAGCGCCAGCAGCAGCTGGCTGCACTCCAGCAGCAGCATGTAGCTGGTGGAGGGGCTGCAGGGCGGGCAGGCAGGCAGGCAGGCAGGCAGGCAGGCAGGGGGACAGCCGGACTTAAGGGGCAAGCTGGGGTTCAAGGGAGGCGCATGCTGCCTTGGCAGCCGCAGCGCAGCGCAGCGTGCTCTGCTGGATGCAGCAGGCAGGGCGGGCGGCAGCGGGGGCCACCACTCACAGCAGCTTGTCGTCTGCCAGCGTCAGCATCGCCTCCCTGACTAGCGTCTGCACCAGCGACCCGTTGTGCAGCCGGCTGAACTCCGGCTCCCCGCCGCCGCTGCCTCTGCCGGTGCCGCCCCCTGGCGCGCCGTCCTGCGGCGACGGCTGCGGCGAGGGCGCCGGCGAGGGCTGCTCGCCCTGCGCCGCGGCAGCCTGCTGCTCCACTGCTGCGGCCGCCACATCTGGCGGCACCTCCACAAAGGCCAGCAGCTGCTCACTGTTGAGCTGCTCCATGAGGTCTTTGACGATGGTGCGCAGGCAGTACACAGCGTTGGCGGTGGCTGTACTGCCGCCCCCGGGCTGCATAGCAGTGCCGGAAGGAAGAAAGGGGAGTGGGTGGAGCACCTCACCATGGCATTGGGCCAGGCGCGGCAGCAAGGCACGGTTTCAGAGGGCAGGATGCAACAGGGGCAGGCAAACGCACGTGATGCCGCGTCCTCCTCAGCTGCTGCACCACCAGATAAATGAAGCGCTGCAGGTTGAGCGTGTGCGCATTGTTGTACACTGCGGAATCCAGGCAGGACAGAGTGGCACAGGATGAGCCGGCTGATCCAGAGACAGGGCCAAAAGTGCGCACGGCAGCGCAGCAACGCAGCCCGATGGCCAGCAGATGTGCTGGGCAAAACGGCACCAGATCCCCGGACTTGGTGCGGGGTCTGCGCCGCTGGCGTCACTGTCGGTTAACGGGCCGACAGGCACCCATAGCCATCGTTCTGCGGCGGCCAAGCAAGCAGGCGGCGGCAGCACACCCAGCTCGGCGCAGTGCGGCCGGATCTCGCGCTCCACCTCCCCCGGGTCGAACCGGCTCAGCGGCTGGGATACGCCTAGCAGAATCTGCCACTCGGGCGCGTCCATCGGCAGCAGCGTCGCGCCGCTGACCGCCGCCACCGCCTGCAGCTGCGCGTGGGCGCTGCCGGCGTTGCCCATAGTCCGTCTGCTGCCCTGGACGCTACCGTGCGGCGAGCTGGCGCTAGAGGCTCGGTCCGTGGGCTATGGGCCAGCTCCTTGATCGGTTGGTTTGGAGGTGTGAGCTCTCGCCTGCGGGTCCGAATGAAGCGGCTTCAGCTCGAGGCCGGAATGATGCTGATGGGTGTCAGGCCTCGATTGAGAGCCAGGCCCTTGCCTCCAGCTGGCACTTTTCTTTTTACCTCGACCACAAACGGGGCTCGAATTGCCCTTGGTGTTGCGAGTGTGCATTCAGCAGGGGTCGCAGGGGTGCCTGGAGCAACAAACCAGAGCAAGCGCGCATGGCAAGCTGCTTGCATAGCCCTTGTCAGCTGGTCGGGGTGTAGAGGAGCACAGGCATAGACCACAATGGTGAGCGGCCGTTAAGGATGCCGCGCTGGAGTTGCGGCCCTGTTCATGTGGGAGTCGGCGCTGGCGGGTGGCCGCCTCAGCGCCGCGCTGCTGTCTGCCCGCAGGCGGGCGGGGTAGGCGAACAGGGTCTGCAGGACTCGATACTAGAGACGCCCGTCTATGTGCTGGCATTCGTGTTCTTCTGCTTCATGGCGCTATCCATCATGTTTGAATATGTGAGATCCTCGCACAACCAGAACACCCCACACACCAAGTTGCCAGCTGCGAACAGCACTATGAAATGCCCACCTGCCCGCCTGCCGCAGATTGTGCACTTTCTGCAGCACCTGTGCCAACACAAGGGCCGTCCTGGGATGGGTGAGCTGGGCGCACCTGCCGTTCTGTGGCTACGCAGAGTGCCCCGTCCGCTTATCTCGTGACGTATTCCTTACTGTGCCTGCTTCTTGGGTGCTGCAGCTGATGCTGTGAATAAGATCGTGATGGAGCTGACGCTGCTGGGCTTTGTATCGCTGCTGCTCCAGACATTCTCATCGCCGCTGGGCAAGATGTGTGGTGAGTGTGCGGCACGGCGCAGGCTGGTACGCATGCACTTGATGCCTGCACGCCCTACTGACCATGGTGCATGCACCTTGCCCCGCTCCACTGCCCTGCAGTTGACTGTAAGTCGGTGGGTGGGATGCAACAGCCGCCAGGGCGCGCGCAGCAGGGCGGGCCGGCCCGCGGGCTGGGGCGTTCACCCTCTTGGATGCAGCCCGGCCAGCCCCTCTCTCCTGCTGCTCTCTGGAGCACGAGCGCCCCGGCACGAGGCGTCCGCTCCTTCACCCCTGCCATGCGCTGCCTGTGCTGCCGCCGCTGCTGCTGCTGGTGCAGACAGCCCTACCATGGAGTCCTGGACCTGGCTGAGCAACCTGCAGGGCTGCCCCTGCTGCCTGGCCCACACCAACAGCGTCAGCATCTGCGCCGAGATGCACCACGACTGCCTATACAACGTCACCAGCAGGCAGCCGTTCTGCGGCTGCGAGGTCACCGGCTCCCAAGGTGGGCGACAGGCTGGTGGGGATGGGGGCGGGCGGGGCGGGTAGGGAGGGACGCCGCCTCGAATGGGAGCGGCGCAGTCAGGCCACTGCGTGCCCGCCGCGTGCAAGCCAGGTGTGGCCAATTTGCGTGCATGCACTTCTGCAGCATGCCCTGCACCAGGAGGGCTGGCCGGCAGCTGCCTGCCGATGCCGCAGCGCCGATGCCGCTTCCTAGCGAATGAGCTGCTGACTGGCGGGCCCATGCACCCGCTCCCTCTGCAGCATACATTGACAGCGGCGGCGACACTTCTGCCTTTGTGGCTTCCGGCCAGCTGGACGACACCTGCCAGCCATACGAGCTGAGCGAGCTCCAGTTCTACATCGACGTCTCCACCAATGCCCTCGCCTCCCTGGCAGGTGGGCCTGGCCGGAGCGTGGCAGCACGCAGATGGTCTGCGCTGCGCCGCCGGGGTGCGGCGCTGAGCTGCCGCCGCCTCGCCGCTCCTGCCGCCGCCCGCGTTGCAGATCTGCTGGGCATGTCAGAGGGCGAGATGTGTGCGCTGCTGGGCAAGAACGACACAGACTATACAGTAACTGCCACCACGGAGGACGAAGCATATGATATCAACTCAAACTGGTGAGATCAAGAGCGGGTCCGCGTGGCGGCCAGCTGGACGCCAGCCTGGTGCTGCCATCTCGCACATGCCGCACACGCGTGCTGCCGGCTGCACGGCAGCGAGGCGCCTGCCCGCTGCCGAACAGCCTATCGCAGGCTGAGGTCTCTTTCTCTCGCCAATGCTGGTGCTGCAGGGAAAGCTCGTTTCGGCGGCGGCGCCTGCTGGCCGGCGACGGCGAGGGTGGCGACGGCGGCGCCATCACTAATCCCCTGGCGGTCATTCTCAGCAACCTGGAGAGGAACTACAGCGGCCCGGGCGCATCCCCCACCACGGTGGGTGGTCGCTGGTGCCGGCCAGGCGGGTGTGCAAGCACCAGCTTGCAAGAATCCCAAAAAGAAGGGCAGGGAAGCTGCCCCCGCCTGGCGCTGCGACATGCCACGGCCCAGGCCTGCCTGTCCCCAGGCCCTGCGCAGCTCCTCCACCTTGCACCCACACTGGGTGGGCCTTTGAACCTACACCCCGCCGCCAACACAACCACGCACGCCACCACCCCAACAACACACACCACCACCACCACCTCCCACCCACCCAGGTCCACATCTTGCCCCGGGTCAAGCTGTTCAAGTGCACCGGCTCCTTCATGAGCAGCGCCTGCCCCCCCGGCAAGGTCCTCCTCATCTCAGCCAACTCCCTGCACCAGGTGTGCGCGTGTGTGCGCCCGGCCGGCCGCCGCTACCTGCCAGCCCCGCGCGCCGCCTGGTCCTGCACCACCCCCGGCCCGCCTGCCCGCCTGCCCGCTCAGTCTCCCTGCCCCTAACGCGCCAGCTCCTGGCGGCCAGCCCCTGACGAAGCCTGCCCGCTCATCCGCCTGCGCACGATTCCGCCCGGCCCCGCCCGCCGGCAGGTCCACATCTGGCTGTTCCTCATCGCCACTTTCCACGTGGCGGTGTCGATGTTCCAGATGGCAGGCGCCGAGCTGCTGGTGCGCTGCCTGTGGCGGCGGTGGGAGCGCCAGGCGCAGCTGCAGGAGGCGGCAGGCGGCGCAGCAGCGGCCCGCCTGGAGCCGTGCGCATCCGACATGGAGCTTGGTAGCGCGGGGAAAGACGCCCCGGCCCCGGCGCCGGCGCCAGCGCCCGCCGAGCCAGGCGCAGAGGCGGTGGTGGCGGCGGGAGCGGCGGCGGCGGGGTGTGCGGCGGCCGTTGCGGCCGGCGTGCGCACGCTGCGGCGGCGGTGGCGGTACCGGAAGTTGCAGAGGCACGGCGCGCACGGCATGGCGCTGGAAGCCGCCATCTGCTGCATGCGGTCGCTGTCGCCGCTCATGGGTGCGCCGCCTGCCGCTGCCCTCTCCCGCAGCGCTTCCTGCCCCCCCCCGTCGGCCGCCTGTGGGGCTGCTGTTCAAGCCTGGCGCGATGACGTCCGCTGCCTGCTGGCCGCGTTGCCTCTCCCCCTGCCTCTCTTGGCGCCCGCCTGCTCACCCTGTTGCTGGCCGCATGTGCGGCATGCTGCTGGTGGCCTGCCTGCCTGCCCGCAGTCACACGCAGCACGTTTCTGGTGATGCGGGCGGCCTGGCTGTCGGGCATGCCGCAGCCGGCAGCAGCCGGTGGGGAGGTGCAGGAGCAGCCGTCCAGCCCAGGCGACGCCGCCGGCAGCAGCAGTGGGGGCGGCCACAAGGGCGGCGTCGTGCCGGCGGGCGCAGCAGCAGCAGCCGTTGAGGGCCAGCCGCCTCCAGACTTTGTGTCTCATGTGCTCGAGTGTCTTGATCACGACATGCCCGCTCTGGGTGAGCAGCAGCCCGCCCTGCCGCCCCAGCACCTGCCACCGCTTGTGTTGCGCCCACGCTCGGCCCTTGCAACAACTTGTCCAATTGGTGCCTTGCTGGAAATTCTTGTTGGCCGCCCTGCCTGCGCCCTGCGCCGCTGCATCACCCGTGCGCCCACCCGCGGCCTGCCGTCGCCCTCTCCTGTGCCTGCTGTGCCCGCTGTGCAGTCGGGCTCAGCGTGGAGATGGGCCTGGTGATCGTGGTCATCGTGCTGCTGACGGGCGCCTTTGGCTGGGCGGGTTCCCTGGTCATGCTGGTGGCTGCCCTGATGCTGCTGGCTACAAACATTGCACTGGTGGCCCTGCTGCGCCACAGCTGCCGCGGCGGGCGACCACACCCGGCCAAGCACCGCAGCAAGGTGGGGCGCGCGGCCAGCCCGGGGCGCCGGGGCCGTCACGCCGGCAGCCAGCGCCGTGCTCGGTGCGGCGTTGCGAGGCGCTCGAGCACAGCAGCAGGCGTGCTGTGCTGGCCCCGCCCTGCGCCCACCACGCACCCTCCCCCCTGCAGTGGTGGCGCCGCCCCTCCCTGCTGCTGGGCATCCCCATCCGCCTCCTCCTCTTCCTCGTCTCTTACGTCTTCTCCACCACCACCCTCTTGGCCTGGCAGGTGGGCACGCCAAAGCGCCACCCGCCTTCGCGCTTCGCTCTCTCACACACACACACACACACACACACACACACACACAAGCTCGCTCGTGATGTTGAGGCCTGGCTGGTGAAGGAGGGGACACGGTGGCGGCATCCCTCCTCCCTCCCTCCCCGCTTCCTTCCTTCCACGCCCCTCCTCCTCTGCCCCGCAGTTTGGCACCGACTCGTGTTTCTTCGATGCCACGGCCGATTCATGGGGCAACTGGTACGTGTGTCTGTGTGTGGTGGTGGTGGTGGTGGTGGGGTGTGTAGGAGGGCGAGTGGACTGCTCTTCCCGGAAGCTGCTCTTCCCTTTCACGGCTCCGGCGCACGTCTACCCCCTGCCCCTGCCCTGCCCTGCTCGGCTCTGCTTGGCTTCAAGCGCGGCGGGTCGGGCGGCTGCCAGGCACACCCCCACCCCACCGCACCCCACTGCCCTGCTGCTCCTGCCCCCCTGCCGCCGTGCAGGGCGCTGCAGCACTGGGTGGGGCTGACCATGGCCTCGGTGTTCCTGCTGTGGATGTCGGCAGCCACCATCCCCGCCTTTGCCCTGGCGGTGCACACCCACACCAGGCTGCCGCCACGGGGCGCCCACGGCACCCCCGACGCCTCCACGCACAGCGGCAGCCAGCCCATGCAGCTGGTGCCAGCCTGGGCCGGGGGCGGCGGCGGGTGCTTGGGCGGTGGCGCCGAGGCGGCGGGCGCCGAGGCGGGAGGCGGGGGGCCAGCGCAGGAGCTGCGAGCCGAGGCGCAGTGGCTACGGGCGCGCCTGGCCGTTGTGGAGGCCAGCCTGGCGGTCCAGGAGGCTGCAGCGGCGTCGCCGCCTGCTGCAAATGGGGGCGGTTCCGGGGCCAAGGCCCATGAAGCATGAACACGTGTGCACCTGTATGTACTCTGTCGTTTGTATTTAGTTTTACACCTATCTGAATTATACCTCTTGCAGGCCACGGCAGGCCCACCGTTGTGAACAGTGTACCGGTTTCAGCTGCGCAGCATGCATGGCGCCGTCCCGGCGGGCACAGCAGCCATGGCCCGCACCTGGTGGCAGCAGGTGGATCTGGATCTGTGGTGGTGTGCTGGTGATGAGGAGCAACGGTGTGATTGTTCCGGTTACACGCAGGTGGTGGTGATGGATGAGGGGCTGCTCATGCGGCCAACCGCTTGCTAGTGCTTGCGTAGCGCAAGCTGCAACTGGAGCCACAGACAGACCGTAGTAGGTGACAGGGATGGGGGGAAGAGGTCTCACAAGGGGTGTGGGATGCACATCAAAAGGCATCCCGTGGGGTGTTTGGCACACAAGGGGGGTCAGCAAGGGGGGTGGGGTGTCGTCACAAGGGGTATCTGACAGGCAAGCATCTCTCAAAGAAGCAAGGGCCTCTCAGCCTTCCAGTGAAGGGCTGGATGAACCAGGGTTTGTGTTGGGAGGGTAGGGGGGGCGTTGGGTTGGGGGTGCGGACTGAGGCCAGTGTTTGCTGCCTGGGGGCGGCACATGGCGCGGCCCGCCAGCGCAGCACAGTGATAAACGAATCGCGCATTATCATTGGAATGTGCAGCCGTATGCAGTTTTGGGGAAGGGTTGTAGGCTGCATGGCTGGGAACAGGCGCTGCATTCAAGTGGGCATAGCCACAGCGGACACATCTGGGATCCGCAGGGCTTCAAGAAAAAAAGTAAAGGGCAGTGGTGCGTTTGGAATGTTGAGCTGATAATTGGTTCTGTTAGTTTTAATGAGTGATGAACGTTCGTTGAGGTGTGAAACAAGGCAACCCCTGCAGCATGAATGTGTACCGCGAAAGCGGCGTGCAGGGCAGTATTGAGGGATGGTGGTGATGATGGCTGTCTGTCTGTCTGTTACACCCATAAGGAGCAAATGAATGCTACGGGCCCAGCTGTGGTGCAGCAGCTGGAAAGGTGAAGGCACCATACACAAACGGGGAGAGAGAGAAGGGGGGGGGGGGGGGGGGGG